TTTGATAACAGGGTGGGGAATTTGAACCGGAAGTCTTAAAATTTTGCCCGTTTTCGCATGCTTCCTGCATGGAAGGGGGCATTGGGGGGTATTCAATACCGTAATACCGCAAGCAAATTTTGTCAATTACCGCAGCTTTTGAGTCCAAAATTGCAAATACCGTGTACCGCAAGATTTCAAATAAAATACTGAAATACCGTAAGAAAAATAAGCTAATACCGCCATACCGTAAATCCCAATATGTCCCCCTGCATGCACAGAAAATACTTCGCATTGGCGGCAAATACAGTTTTCTCAGATTTCGAGGGAAACAGCCTCAATTTTGTAAAAAACTGGCTCAAAGAAACGGGCATGGAAAATCTATGTGCTTCATTTGAAGGTATGTACTACATAATTGTGTAAAACTGTATCCAAACATTTTACGTGAATTTCGCTATCTTGTCGAAAAACATTTCCGTATATTTTGTACTTTTTGTATTTACTGTTATAAAATAACATGTACATAACGCGTATTCTGATTGGTCAAAACCCGTGTTTGGATCAGGCCATCCAAACATGGAAGGCTATCGTGTTGTTGTTATTTTATAAAACAATCACTTTATGGTTTCCGTGTTTGGATGGAATGATCCAAACACTTGGGAATGTTGCTCGAGTTAAGAAAAGCGGGCAAAATCACTCGCCTTCGGCTCATGATTTCGCTCGCTTTTCTTAACCCTCGCAACATTCCCGCGTGTTTGGATCAGGCCATCCAAACACGGAAACCACAAAGTAATTGTATATTATAAGGTTTGAAGATATTTTCTCTACTTACACTTCGTCCATCTCCTCCCCGTCAGAGTCCTGGGAAACATGAAGATACGGATTGTCTGATCCGGGACGGAATTTATATCTAAATCAATGGCATTTACTGTATTTAATCACCATATGTATTTAACCACAGCTATGGCTGCTAACCTGCGATCAGGCGTTCTTGGGGTCGCAGGTTACAGCTATGCTGATGGGGTCGTCAGTCAACAGGAATAGTGTATTTGAAGAAAGGTAAGAACTTTCGGCTGCAGTGAATGCGGAGTGTGATCGCTTAATGGCTGAACTTACCCAGTCATGATAAACAAGGCCATCATTGACAGATTCATGAAAAACTGAAACACAATGGACAAATAATTGAATTTATAAATGAATCAACTCAAACCAATTAATATGATGAATATAATTCCTTTATTTTCCTATCTAATGATTCTTTATCCTATAAATTCCTTTATTTATTGTTTTATCCATAATTATTCAAATAATGGACTTAACAAATGAATTAACTCTAACCAATGATTAATATCAACTATTAGCAATTTACCTCGTCCAACCACAAATATTGAAATGGAACTGTTATCTAAAAATATTTAAAATACTAACTTAGTAAAAACGGCCAGTGTAACCTGTACGCAGTTTGACCTTTCCAAGCCCAAGGTATTCAATACCGTAATTTAGTTGATATATCATGTATCTGAGATGTCTTGGCGTCAAACATGATTGCACTGATGGCACTAAGAAACGCTGGAGTAGATTGTTTGCATATGCAATTGACGTGCTTCTTTTTCTACCTCGTAGTCTGAACGTACTTTTCAGAAACCTGTACTTTATGAACCCTATTTTAATGACTAAATACACATTGAGTACTGAGTTTGTATTAGCGCACGTACGCGGCAACAACCATTGGCGTATCAATCAGGTACAACTAAAAGTCTTCAATTATCGCAGCCCAAGGAGATACAATACAGAAAAACATAAGCTGATGGTTGTATCTTTCTCAAATCGCAGCTCTGTATAATTTAATAGAAAGCCTACAATATTACTTAGGAGAACATTTCAGAAAGCACATTGTAGAAATCTCACAGGTATACGGTAAGTACCTTCACTATTTGAACAATTATTCTTGTAAAGTAGATGTAACAGACAATCTAAAGAAAAAGATAAATATGTATGGTATATAATCCCAGTGTTTCAGTTTTGGCTTCATAAAATGGACAAGTCGTTTTTCCTTTATAAAATTGTCTTACCATGATGTAAAACTGTCGGAATAATTTGAGTTTAGCAAGATTCACAGCCGCTGTAGAAACACAAAATGAAAAAGATTCAAGATTCATTCCTTAGAAAATACGCAGTCGTTTTAACATCAGACGTTACGTTTAACAACAAACGTTTCGCATAAAAAGTTTTTCCAACCTTTTCCATCAGTCTGTGAGGCTTCCTTGAGATGTCTGATAGCCCTGACAAAACAAAACAAAACAACGTAGTACTAAGTCATTGGCAGTGCACTAATTTACATTAATCAGACGTGTACTGTACGAGTTACTTGTAACTTTACCATATTACTGGGAATAGCACTGCACCACAACATAGGAGATCTACCAGAAGGAATATTTGTTTGTAAACAAAATTAAGGTAAAAATATAATAAATCATAAACGAAAATATTATCACCACAATACCATCACTACTACCACTACAACCACTGTCACTTTAACCATGCATCACCATCATTATCATCATAACCACCATCACCACCACTATCTTCAATCACCACCACCATCATCATCACCACAATCATCATCATCATCATCATCACTCCCACCATCATCATAATCACCATCACCACCACTATCTTCAATCACCACCACCATCATCATCATCACCACAATCATCATCATCATCACCATCACTCCCACCATCATCATAATCACCATCACTCCCACCATCATCATAATCACCATCACCACCACTATCTTCAATCACCACCACCATCATCATCATCACCACAATCATCATCATCATCACCATCACTCCCACCATCATCATAATCACCATCACTCCCACCATCATCATAATCACCATCACCACCACTATCTTCAATCACCACCACCATCATCATCATCACCACAATCATCATCATCATCACCATCACTCCCACCATCATCATAATCACCATCACTCCCACCATCATCATAATCACCATCACCACCACTATCTTCAATCACCACCACCATCATCATCATCACCACAATCATCATCATCATCACCATCACTCCCACCATCATCATAATCACCATCACTCCCACCATCATCATAATCACCATCACTCCCACCATCATCATAATCACCATCACTCCTACCATCATCATAATCACCATCACTCCCACCATCATCATAATCACCATCACTCCTACCATCATCATAATCACCATCACTCCCACCATCATAATCAGCATCATGAAAAGGATATCCAAGTAATATAATCAGCCTGGGCTTCTTCTGTTGACTCCATTATAATCAAAGCAATGTTGTCAAATATCTACAGAACAAAAAAAAATTCCTTCTTAACAAATTGAGATTGCAAATGACTATAGTGCCTTGTTGTAGTCATATACCTGAAAAATTATTTCGAAAATTTTACTAAGCTTTTTCAAACTTGGAAAAAATGTTACCTGTAATGGAATGACAATAAGAAATATCTTTTTATCTCGTCCAGACAGAACATGTTTAATAAAGAAGTAGCCAGTTCCAAGAAGAATTATTGTTGTAAAGAGAAGACCACCTTTAAACCTAAAACATGGAGAAGATATCAATTTTTGAATAAGGATTACCAGTTATTATCTTTTTACACCTAATAATTGAAACAAGAGAGTGCCTCGCATGGGTCTTAGAGTCCTGTTCGCAATCTTTTTCCGCTTGAACATTGTTCACCAAAGTTGTTAAAACCAGTAGTTCACTTACAAATGAGCAATATAATGTAGGACTGCCCAGGATTCTGCCTTCGTTCCATCTCGACCAATGTAGTAATAATTAACCTTTAGAACAACAATAAACGGACTCAATTCAAAACAAACTGGACAAGTTCAAAACCATACTCAAACTTACATGATAAATAAATATAATACTCAAAATAATATAAATCTGTCATGGCTTACAGCGTTCAAGAGGACATCCAAGGCTTTCAACGATACCAAAAGAAACATTAAGTAATGAACTTTGAATGTTTCAGACCTATATACAAATATGAAAATAAATTGTACTACCATGAAAAATGTTTGACAAGCTGTATATAAGCATACTTTTTGGGAAACACAGCGTCTTACCAGTATTGTCGAAGAACATAAAACCAAATACATGATAAAATACAAAACACCACAGCAAAGAATCCAAAAACCATTGGTAGTGGGGCCTTTAAACAAAAAAAAATAATGAAAAATAAAATACAAAACAAAATAAAAGCAGTGAAACTGTTAGGCAAGAAGCTTACTTCCCCAGCGGACAAATAACTACCATCATTCTTCTCTACCACTGTCAACTAGAGCACAAAATATGAAGAAAATAGTTGTTAACCATTCAACATAACAAGCTATATTTTACACATTAATGTTGTGCAAGATATTTCACATACCGTCATATCAATAGGGTTATCATTCTCGCCAAGATGACAGTTGTGAAAAAATGTGTTGTATAAACCTTGTTCTGTGTTGTTTCGTACGTGCAGGGTGAACTGTGAATTAGAAAATGTTCAAATAATCATTATGAAGCACCATAATCTTTCATGTGAACATAACTGACAGAGTGGTCAGTTGATGTGCCTTTTTCACCCCGGCAGTCAGGTCTGAATCCTGTACTACTATGTAATTGTCTGATTGTAATTATGTAGCTTTTAGTCCCACCATAACTTGAACCATAACCTGAACATAACTTTCATCCCAAATTTAATCCTGATTCTCCTAATTCAAAGCTTAACCCATCATGCACCAGGCAGGTAGTGCTCTCCTAATGATAAGTAAAATCATCTGCTGTCAGACAGAGTAAAAGAATATGGAAGGGCACATTAGAGCAGGATGGAACTTACAGTAGTGGGTTAACCAGACACATTGGCAGATTAGCTTACAGTAGTGGGTTAACTAGACATATTGGCAGATTAGCCCATTGAGCATTACCCAGGGATTAAACAAAGTAAAAGAATAAAGTAAGGCACAATAGGTCAAAAGGCAAGTTAATGCATTGTAAGCCTAATCTAATATTAGCTTAACCCTTAAGCCTTGCCCTAATTTAATCCCAACCATAATCCCAACTCTTAATCCTAATTCCAACCCTAATCCTTAGGATATAATTTCAGGATATCCAACTTAC